TGGTCTCTAAGAAAATATGTCACAATTACTTAGATTAGAACGTCGACAAAAAACAGGTCTTAAAATCCACTCCGAACTCGCGTATTTTATTCATTTGGAACTGAAATAATAAAGACGTTCATCCCGGGGGGGGGGGGCACTTGGGTATTTTTTGGGTGGATTTGTGCAGCCCGGGACTCCAAATTGGCACCCTGTTCTAAAAAAATTCCCCTAAAATTGATACCCCGTTCTAGAAATGGGCCAATTTTTTATACCCCGTTCTAGAATTCGCCCTAAAACTGAAACCCCGTTCTAGAAATGGGCCAATTTTTTATACTCCGTTCTAGAAAGTTTGTAAATTGAAATAGCCCTGTTTTTTTAAAAAGATATTTCTTTATTTTTTCGAATAATACAGCAAATAAATGCTTCTTCATAATCAGCAACAATTTTAAGCAGAAGATAAAGCCGTGATCCACAATTTTTTATACCCCGTTCTAGAAAACGCCTCTGAAATGGATACCCCGTTCTAAATCAGGAGCTTCAAAATCACGACCCCGTTGGGCGGCACATACCCGTATAGGTAATGTATGGGAGTACCCCCCCGGGACGTTCATTCACTTCTGAAGTTTCCTCGAAAACCATACCTGATTCTAGACCAAAATGGGCGAAGTCTATACTCGTTTTCAGACCAAAACGGCGTACAAATCATACCCTTTGAGGCGGCACAAACCTTTATGGCTTACACTAGGAGTATCGGAGTCAGAGCTTAGGAGAGTGGGTTCGATATGCTTGTTAGACGTACAGGTAGCAGATGACGGGGAAGAGTGGATGGTTCTTGCGATAGATAAATATGATTATGACACAAGGATTGCGGCAGCGAAACCTCTATTTACACTGTCTCTCATTATGAAAAGGTTTTGAAGGCTCGTGATATTGTATGGTTCGTCTCAACAACAACAACAGTTTATAAAGGTATTCCCATTTACATACCTTGCATTACCTATTCTCTTAAAAAAGTAAATAATTATAATTAATTGGTTAAGTCACCTTTGAAATTACATGATCGTGTCTACAATTCATAATCTCAAAAATAAAAGCAGCAACTGATTTACAAATAAATGGATCAATATTGTTAAAAAGAAACAAAATTTTTTATATAACATCTAAATCATTAAAAAAAATTATATTTGGTAATGATTTCATCAAAAAATTTGTTGCGAAGCGTATCATATACATGTAGAGTGCAAGAAAACATATAATAACGTGACATTCATTTTCAACCAGCTTCATTGGCTGGACATAAGGAACAGATTCTTAGATATTCGGGAGTCTTGGGTACAGTGTATCTCCGCGGCTGTTTCGATACGAAGTCCATGATTTACCAGTGGAAATATTAATAGCAGATCTATTAAGGAGAGGATTTTTTATTCCATCTAGAAATTCGGTTCTGTTGGGATCTCTTTTGAAAATATTGTAAAAATAAGTTTCCTGAATTAAGAGTCGATGGATGATTAAAGCTTTGGACAGATTTTGAGCGACACTGGAGATGAGAGCGTGAACTATATTCACCACATAATGTTTTAATCTTTATTTGTGATATGCCTGGCTGATTTTTCTCAGCCATATCCTTTGAAAGATGTAAACACTGCTTTGCAAAATTATCGTCTAGCAGGTTTTGTAAATGGATCCAAAATTTTGAAATATTACTATCTATGGTTAACTTCAAAGGTAACCTTCCGAGTTCATTTCTGGCAGCAACGTTTGGGCATTGTTTGTTTACTCCTAATGATTGTTTACAAAGGAAGATATGTGTTTTTTCAATAATATCTTTTTCACAGTTGGTGAAATCATCTTTGTCATAGATTCCCCATACCTCTGAGGGAACCCGCAACAGTCGCCAACCTGAGTGTAACATCAGAAAAAATAGGTGCTTAAACATTGAAAACAAGGTATAATTAACATAGCAAATATAGATGGACGGAAGGATGAAAAAACTTGAAGAAGATTGAAAGGGATTACAATTGTGTTTTTTGTCCTTTTAGTTTTTGAAAGGTAATTTTTGTTGCCTGTTAGTTTGATCTTGTCATTTACAAGTGATTTGTCAAGTTCCATAGCGAAAAAGGACGCTTCTTAAAGTGTCAAGTCTTCTAGCTGGCCTAAAGAGACCCTCTAACAGTTCTATCAGGGGACATTAAAAGAAAAATGTTACTGAACTGAAATAAGTGACTGACTAGATTGACTGACCCACTGACTAGATTGTTTTCATCATTCAACAGATAATTACTCCTGGCCTTTTTATCCAATTGCTAACCAGGCATTGTATGGTTACGACCAAGCAGCCAACAAATCTTTCAAAAGCGAGAAAATCCCAAATGGCGTCAGAAGTAAGGTGGAAGATGGAATCCAGGCTCTGTTTGTGCCTGCAGGAGTAGAAGTTGACCTTGGTGGCTTTGCTGGTACGTGCATCAGTAATCCATCTCTCTGTCAGAATTTTACAGTGTCATTTCTCTTTAAAACTGGAGCCGACAAAGATCTAAAGGTCCTGGATTCGGGGTTGAGTGCTGAAGGCCAAACAGATGAGTACGAGTATGGCTGGTCATTTAAGATTTCTTCCTATGCTGACGATGCTGTAGTGACAGTCACCGGTGATGGCGCGGCCCGAGAACTGGCGGCTCGCAATTCTTGGATTCAAATAGTTTTTACTGTTGATTACGGAATAATATCCAAGAATGTAGTCCTCTATCAAAATCATAATGGCACACTAGTAGACAATCTGATGGCATCGGGACAAAGTTATATGAAGCAAGACAGGAACACGCGTCTGAAGCTTGGCTCCACATCCAACACAAAAGGGTTCTTTATAAGCGACCTAAACTTTATTGGAATTAAGCTGAGTGTAGAAGAAATTCAAGAACTTGGGAACAGGAGTTTTAAAGAAGGTATGATGAAGGGTCGGTTATTAAATGAAGTATAACTTAAATCCTTTTGCAGGGTAATTGTTTTAAGCAAGACAGAATAAATGGACAGAGAAAGAAACGCCCATTCTAGCCCTTAGGAGATGTGAATTTCACCAAAGTTATTTTAGACCAATTAAACACTTGAATTTAATAGGAAATTATTTTCCGTAGAGGTCCGCAAACTTTTGCTTGGTCTTAGAATTCAAGCGAGGCAGTCAGTCGCCCGTGGACTTGATGACGTTTTAAACAATCGATAAAAATGTGCGGACGTCTCAGGAATTAGCCTTCAGTTTTATTACAACCTCTTAACATAACCCAGCCAACGCCCTAAGATTCCTCTCTTGTTTTAAGTAGATAAGTGGTTTTCTAGTCTGGCATAAAAGTCCACCAGACCCAAATGTCTGTTAGAGGGCCGGTGAGGGAGTACATTCCGCATTGGTTAAAAACTAAGAGCATGAGTTTTCTCTGGCTACGGGGATTAAGTCCGCGGCTTCCCGCTCTGCAGTTTTTAACATACAGTTCAATGACTCAATAGTACAATATAACCACGCTAGAAATTCAATAACAGCACATTTGTTCAATGTCATGTCACTCAAAAAGCATAATATAGAGCATTTATCTCCCTAAAATTACCAACTCATGCATCAAATTAAGGAGAAATCTGAAAGTCCAATTATTTCTCAAACTGTGGCCTAAGTTAGCCCGAGTACAGCCGTCGCCTCTCTCAAACAAAAACCAGGGTTGCCACTGTCGGGGAAAAGTCGGGGAAAGACGAAAAGTTTTCAAGGTCAGGGAAAAGTCAGGGAATTTGTTTAAAAGTCAGGGAAAATCTTTGATATTGTCAAAGTCAGTGAAAAGTCAGGGAATTCTTTTCTCTGGTTTATAGTTCATACGTTTTCTTCAAGACTTTGAAATGCATTTTCTTTCGGAAAAGATGAAAAGTATACTGCAAAGCAAGGAAAGCGATCAATTTTAACACTCTATGCCTGACACATGTAGTAGTTGTGGTCCGTGGTTTTCGTTGTAAATGCTTTCTTCCAAATTCCTTCTTCCTCTTTCAGCGAAAAGCGGAAAGAGGTTGAAAATGAAGAGAAAAATATCGATGGCCTGCAAAAAAGCTAAAGCGAATGTAAACATCGATTGTTTCTCATTAATAAAAGGTCAGTGAAAACTGTTTAAAGATCAGTGAAAAGTCAGGGAATTTTTAACTTTCTGATGAGTGGCAACCCTGATAGACGTCTCTCTGCTTGATATGTTTGAGGGGAGGAGGCGGCTGTAGGCAGGCTAGCCTAAGCTAGACTCGATCGGTTTGATTAACGAGTCTTAGAGGTCTATACAAGAGAATGTAGAATGTATTGATGCACTCACTACAATTTATTTCGCCAATAGCAATGGAGGCAAAGAACGTCACAATTGAGATTCTAGAAGCTCAAGTAATAATACCAGCAGATGCTGGCATGGCAGTGATACGCATGCGCCGACAGGGATTTCTTGCTATTGCTACTGCAGTGAAGTAAGTACTGAAACAGTCCATGCTAAAAAAGGGAAAAATAGAAGAATGTAGCTCCTAATGTAGTACGGCCAAAGGAGGTGAATTCTTATTATGGTATAGTTCGTGGTTTGTAAATGGCAATGACGTTTTTATAGTCTCGTACCAGGTTTTTTGGTAGACGAAAAAAAACAAATGAGCCTTTTTTCCCACTAACGAGCAGGGTCCCAGGCTAACTTTGCCGGCGTCCATGAGCAGTGTTTAAAAACTAGCCGGTATAATCACTAAACAGTCTCAAAATGACGGTCCTCCGAGGTGTTTTAAATCATTGTTATCAAGTTCAGCACTGAGAAATACGTACCAACTCCGCGAGGTGGATGATTATAAGTGAGACCTCTCGCCTGTGGCTATTCCTTGCTGATGAGTCCTAATGAGGACGAAACAGCTGTCCATGTCTGCCACTGCCTGGATGATATGGTTGTGCGCATGCGTAAGGTACTCGGGCCATATCGCGGAGTTAATATCGCGGAGTTGTTACGTGTGCTACAGTGCTGAAATTGGAATTGTTTGATTTTATGCTTGATATAGATGAGAACGTTGTCAGACGGGACTCCTTAATACGTGTTCAGTGTTTTGCTGTCCTTGGTACGGCAGTACATATGCATGGTGCCCATTTGGTCAGGATGTATGTGTTACCCCACGGAGGGTTGACAAGTTTAAATTTAAGAGTTCATAACATTATTGTATGAGAATGAGTATGATCTGAAGAGTTATCCAGTTCGTAAGGACCAGTTATTCGTCGGCCTCGGGGAATAAAGGCCCTCCTATAGATTCACAATAATTCATACATTAAAAACAAACTTATATTCTTACTTCGAGCGATGTAAAGTTACCTCTTCATTGGCTCGTTCCGTGGCAAATTACGGATTTAAAGGGATTGTTTACTCCAGCCGATCTTGCTCAAATATCAAAATACGTTGAGTTGTATTTTTGTTGTTTTTCGCCACGTTTTCAGGCATTAGTTCTGCTATCTTTTTCGCAAAATGTGTGAAATTTTCCGCTATTTTCTCTAGCACTACATATACCAAGACAGCCGAACTAGCGCAACTTCGTCACATAGCTTCTAGGTTGCCGTGCCTTTTCTTGTAATTACCCTGAAGCACTGACGTCATTTTGTCGGATATTGCAAACGTCTTCAAAAATTAAGTCGACGTTGACTAATTGTGAAGAATCAGTCGGAGGATTTCCGCCAATCAGAAACAGAGAATTTCTTTTTGAATTAATAGTGATATCTATTGTTTGTGTTGTATTTTCTTAAGCTATGATATGAAAAGCTTGACAGCGGAACCAAACAAACACTACAAGGCTGCCGCTGGGGAGCAACTGGCATTTGGTCCGGGAGAGATTTACAAGGAAGTTAAAATTGGTATCATTAACACAGATAACAGCTTTGAAGGCAACAAAACCTTTCAAGTCATTTTCTCAAGTTCTCAGAGGTCCGTGACGATGAAAGGACCGCAGCAGGTCAATGTAACTATCATGTACACTAAAGGTAAGAGAAATTCGTTTATATCTACCTGGTGTTTTGAAAACTGGGCTACTAAAAAATGTCAGTCTCTCTCCCACTGATTGTTAATTTAATGGCCCTTTTTTGCTGGAAAAGCAAAATCTTACCGGAAAATAAACATTGTATTCATCATGCATGCACGCGAAGCTTTCTTTGTTAGGCTGGAAAATAGTACATTTTACGGATTTGTTCCATTATCAGCGTCGCCGATTGCAAAGCCATTCCCCCAATTTACCCAATTTTGCTATGCCATTGGCCTCCCAAATACAATCCCAAACACCATTTCTCGAATACACGGGACGAAAAAACGGATTTACCGAACGTCAAAGGTGAACAAAGCCGATACCATGTTTGACTTAACTTTTGACGCGCGTCAAAATTGCAGTAAATCCAATTTTCCGTCCCGTGAGAAAAGAGGTCCTACAACCTCTAATTCAACTGCTTGCTGAATTGAAAACATTAGCAACAGCGTGTTTTATTGCTGGCATGAAAATTGCACTAAGAAACTGCAAAGGCCAAGCGCAATAAAACCTACCTCCTGGAATTTAACCAGGCTACCCCAAATACACACCAGCTGATAGCGCTGTGCCTGTGCAACCACCTGACCCCCACCTTGACAGAGACACTGAGCCCAGGGAAACAGGAATAAGCGGCAGTCGAAATTTCAGTACAGCCACAGTCCAGTACAAACCAGGCTCTTTAGACCAACCCCACCACCCTGGAATTTAACCAGGATACACCAACACCCACCTTGACGACAGCCCTCCCTGAAAAAAAAAACAATTGCTTGCTCAACGGGGGAAACAGGGTGGCCCGAACCTTCTCGAGCACGTTTTCAAGAAGCTCCAAGAATCGAGCAAGGAAGCATAGAAAGGCGGCAAAAGCCGGGTAGACATGGATAAGGGTGTGAAAAACAAACACGGGATCTACGTCAAAACGGTTGTAACACCAGAAGGTCAACAAAGAAACCAGGAGAAACACACAGACACTTGATCCACTGGGCAAGGAGGGGATACACTTTGCAAGAGATGGAAACGAAACCAACTGAAAACCTTCATCCTCACGATGATGAATCACAACATTAAAAGCGACCAGATCCTTCTTACCTCCCCAGAAAACGTTCAACAAAGCGGTGTTCAACTCACGCAACGCCCAAGAAGGCGTGGAAACAAGAGAAGCAGCGTACCAGATGCAGGACGGCGTCAGAGCGTTGGAAACCAGAGCGCGACCACCACACGACAAAGAGCAGTGGTGCCAAGAGTTAAAGCACTTCTGCACCGCATCAATTCGAGGTCTCCAGTTCAACTCACTCAAATCACCATTTCCAATAAATCCCGAGAACCTTGATCTTCGTGGACGTCCAAATAATATTAAAAGGCCAGCGAGACGATACGACCACGCCACGCTCCCAGCCACACGCCCTCGCACTTAGAAAGATTTAAAAGCTGCGAGCCCGAACCCTTCTCAAAGAAACTGTAAGTATCGAAGTTTTCACGAATGGCACTGTCAGTAGAAACGATAGCGGAAGTATCATCGGCATACAGCGACAGAACCGGGAGAAGAGAAGGAGAGCAAGGCAGCCTTAACCTCACAATATCCGCGTGGGCACGGATATTAGGGACTTTAAGATCCAACGACGCGACGGCAACGAAAACGTCGCTTAAAAAGTGAATTTGTGTTCTTTCAGTCTTTATAGCCATTATTCCTACCCACTTACTTTGTCAAATGTAGGCGAACCCTCCTGGAGTTGAATTCCTTGGGACCATATCCAAGTTCGGAAAGAGAAATAAAATTTCGTCTTTGCTTGTTTACGTAATCCATAAAACGCGAAATTAGGCATTTTCAAGTCGCAGTCGTGCAAACAAGGGCAAAGAAATGTATACAAACAAGCGTAATGCACGTGCAAAATTGTTGTTTTGCTTATAAAACCTATTGTTTTTTGACATTCTCGTTGCCGTCCGCTTCGTTGGATCTTAAAGTCCCTATTATCGGCCAACACCTCCATGGTGAGCACACGGAGCAAAGGCGACAGGAACAACCCTACCGGCGTACACCCCGAGAAGGTTTAAAGGACAGTGATACATAACCGTCAACAAGGATAGAACTGCGAATATCCGTATACAGAAGTTTGAGCTAGCAAATGAGAGAGGGGCTGAAGCCCATAGACAAAAGGGTACGCTAAAGGAAAGACCAATCGACAAGGTCGATGGCCCTCTCTTGGTCCAAAGACAAAATGGCCAAAAAAAGATTGAGCTCATTCGCATAGGTGGCAACGTCACGAAGTAAAGCAACGTTTTCTCTAATATAACGGGAAGGCACCCCACAGGTCTGATCGTGGACCACAACGATGTCGAAATCTAAATGTCTGATCTGCAAAGAGCAGTGTAGCCCATCTTCAGCAGATATTTTGTAAATCACCTCTGGCACTGTGCTACCAATATTGCATTGTTAAAAGATATCATCTTTTAAACACATATCTTACCAGAATAGATTATGCACTGGCCAGCCTCAGTTGATCTCGTTACTGAAGTTTACGTAGTTATTTTGGAGCAAGATAAGTATTATCAAAAATTCATAACAGGGACGTTCTTTACCGCAATACCGTGAATGCCAAACGTATCTTTAAAGTTTAATAATCTGTTGTGTTCCCCATTCCTTTTTTTAAGGTACTGTCCGATCAAAAGCAGCCATCACAGATGGTATGTATTCAATTTAAACTTGTTACAGTGACACTTGGTACTTTTACTTTAATTTTTCCTTTTTTTTGCTTGACCGTTCGGGTAAATTACTAGCCATATAGATTTTAGGCTTCACTAGTTGGTGTTATGTATCATCTTTTATTTATTTATCTATTTTATGTATTTATTTACACCACCTCTTCTAACGTAAGATTACAGCATTACATTCAATTTGAGATAAAATTCATGGTACCATAATTTCAATTCATAATATCTTAATTAATCTTGAATAACAATACATGCACAGTTTTAAGTTGAACAAGAACTCTTTCATGAAATAACTAATAAAGAAAATGAGAAAAACAGTGAAAAAGTGAGTGGTGAGGAGACCGCAAAAAGCCAAAGGCTTGTACAAGGAAGTCCTCCCATGATTTGGTCATTGACTGAAATAATTTAGGACTAGGGTGCAGAAGAATACAATAGACTTCAGTCAGCTTCAAAGTACGATAAAGAAAGCCTGTTCTAATGTGTCTGAAAAAAACCTGTCGGCAGAAGCATATTTTAAGTTTAAGCTGCAAAGAGTGATAATTGTTTCATTATCCATTCAAAACAATTCCTAGTTTTAAAACGAACTAAAGCATGCCTGCCCCGATCGATGTTATTGAGTTCCCGTCTTCCAACTTTGGCTGTTTTTTAAAAAGTTCAGGGGATAAAAAGGAGTTTTGTTCTGCTTAAATTGTACAAATAGCAGATGTCTGTCGAGTTGTATGGTTTCTGTTCTTGCTATGTTTTTAGGCAGCAGTTTAATAGGCTATTCCTTCTTCGCAAAACGGACTTTGAAATGTTCCGCCATTTTGTATTGCCCTACCAAAAAAACGCCAGCTCGACCCCAGGGCTTCTCGGTTGCCCTCAATACGTAAACTTTAAGCCAGGACTGCTGCAGATGGCAGAGATGGTATTTTCTTAGGCAATGTTCACACTGTTCCGGATAGCTTTCGCAGCTGCACGAAACCCACACCAAATAGGCCTTCTGTTTACATATAAGAACAGTGATTTCGAAGTGATTTCTGTAACCGAGTGAATTTCTAAAGTGGAGAGTCACATATCGTATTGAAGTTCATGCTATACTGGATAGATTTTCGTGTCGGTACGAAAAGCTTTCCGCGAAATCAACAAAGCGCCAACACGAAAATAGGCTGATTTAGCAACAGAACGGAAACGTCATTTGACGACGGGAAAGAGCGCGGAAAAGACTAAACTCGACTTCCGGTACCCAATTTGCCGCTCTGCCATTGGTCAAGCCAGTTGTTTGATTTGCGCGCGCAGTCATCAACAGACGTTCCCGTTCTGTTGCTGAATCAGCCTAATAAAAACTTCACCGCCTCCCCTAATCAGATCACGCGCTCATATTTTCGTGTGTTCTCGTAGTAGGCCGAACTTTAAAGTCGGTCGATTTTTTTGTTCGTGTTTTCTATGCAAAAACGGGTAAACAACGGGTTAACAAAAAAAAAAAAGACGGGTTCCGAAATCGTAGTGTGTTCCTGGCCAAAGGTCTGCCAGCACTAAAACTTGTTATTTTACATAATGGCACAATATAATAATATATCGTCTGTTTATCCAATAATCAGGGGGTCTACTTTACTGCGTTGTTTTAACGCTGTTAAACCTGACTGCTGGTCTTCGATAAAAGAAAAGGTGCGGAAGGAAAGTAAGTTGATATATATTCACTTATTTTAATTGATGTAGAAACATTTTTTGCAGCAATATTTTCACTATCATGACGCTTTTCTGCTTATTTGAAGCGAATTCTTACTTCTGTCAATTCTAAACTTCCCTGAATCAAATAATTCCATAAAACAGCCTGACCTTTCGGTACTGAAATGGCCAGCTTCTCTCAACGCAGTTCAACTCCACAACGAAACGGCCATTATAATGCACCCGACTAATTGTTAAAATAACCTTCCCCTCGATGACTATTTTCAAACCAAACCATGTACAAACTTATTAACATAGTGTACCTTCAATGCTTTGCTTTGTTTTAAATATGTTGTATCGATATGTTTTGAACAGTCACGTATTAATATACTATATAAAAATAATTTAAGAAAATGTTGTACCGATGGTATCACACGACATATCTAGCTCCTTAGCCTGAGTCAGTGGCAGGCAGAAAAATTGGGAGGGCAAGGTTAGGGCAATTGCGCGATAGGAGAATGAGAAGGGGAGTCCCTTTCCTTCTCTCCCCATCCCCACTCCCTTTTTCCGTTCCTCCACGTCAGACGCGCAGGCTACTACCTCCCCATAACATACGCCTCTCTTATCTTCTTTATCTAACTTCCAACCGAAATTTCCAAATTTTTATTTTTATTTATTTATTTTTTTTTTTGCAGAAGGGTGATGATGAAAGAAATAATAAGTCGAAAAGAAGAGAACATATAACTCTGATCTAGTAGAGAAGATTACATTATTGTTCTTCATTTTTGGTTCCTAATGTTCTGGTTTTCCTGTTTTCAAAAACGTTGATCAAGTTTTTTAGTGTTATTTACCCATGATTTTTT